GTGGTGGGCCCCCCCCAGCAGTTTGTGGGCTAGGAATAGCCGCCAGAGAGCCGATTTTCCCCCTAAAGTTGAGAAATCGCGCCTGAAACTCCAATATCTTGGATAATCTGACCACTCTCAAGGTTCAGGTAGCTCCAAACGATGATTTTCCTCTGGAAAATCCTCCGAACTCAGGCGAAAAATCAAGGGCCCGGAGGGTCTGCCCACGAGTCTCTGGGGGGGTCCTCGGCCACGACCCCCCCCCCAGCATGTGGTGAAGGTGCTGGGGGGGTCGGGACCCCCCCCCTAGCATGTGGTGAAGGTGTGGGGGGGTCGGACCCCCCCCCTAGCATGTGGTGTGAGCAGAAGCGCGCCCCCCTCCCTGGAAGCGATGTGCGCCTGCTCCCGAAGAGCTGGGGCCAAATACGTGAATTGGCTGTGAACGTCAACGCCGCCCGCAGCATCGAGCGGCACGTCCTCCCCACAACCAGCGGCGTGCATTGCACCTAGGTCGTCGGCTTTGCCGACGGGCGACGTGCACGGGACACAGGGACGGGCGACCCACGTACCCGAACAAGCATGATCCAGTTCCAGAGAACGGGGCATTGCACCTACATGGTGCGGGACCTGGGGCAGCAACCAACAACCTGGATGGGGACGGGGTGCTGCGCAACCGACGCCAACCAGCAGCGTTCACACTTCACAGCACAGTGCGAAACAGGGTTGCAACCTGGCCCATGAGCCATGTTCAAGTGCGGCCGTTTTAGAGAGAGAGAGAGAGTTTTGCCGTTTTACCAGGCACCCAACCGACGGCCGCGCCGCGATATTTTTTTGCCTGCCCCGTATTCGCCGTCGCGCGACGACCACGCCGGTGTCAAGACTGCGCCCGTTCTTTTTTGCGGCCTTGAGAGTTCTTATGTTTAAACTTCTTTATACCCAGGTGTGTATTCTTTTTGCTTGGGGCGGACAGCATGCTGAAATTCTGGAAAAACCTGACCGGCCCCTGCGGTGCCCCTACCTACCTACGTCCTACCTACCTACCTATGGGAAACTAAAAAAGAAATCACGGGCTGGGTGAAGGTGGGGTACTATACCAACTAAAGTGATGGCTGGTGGTACTATCCTGCAACCACAGTCCTTCCTGTGACATGGCAGGCCACTCTCAAGCCCTACAAGCACCAGATCAACGACTTGGGGAGGGTTGACATCGTGATTTGCGCGGAAAAATTCTTTTTCTGAAAATTCCGGCGCGAAGAGAGGGAAAACCGCAAAGACCCAACCTACCCCGGCATGCTGTCCGCCCCAAGCAAAAAGAATACACACCTGTTATACCTGGTAAAAAGGAGGGCGCCTGGGTCTAAATTTAGTGCGTGTGAATGAACTTTAGTGATAGTTTAGTGATCTGTGATCTGTGAGGGTCCGCCCGCAGGCGCATTTTGTATACCGAGGCGGTGCCCGGTGCCGAACCTGTCGGACCTTGAGACAGCGTTGTAGATCCCTGGGCGAGGGTGGTGGAGAGGGCAGTCCGTCGGCGCCAAACCACCTCCCACCGAGGTGGGCAGGTTCCACGCGTTCCCGGACCGCCCCGTTGGAGGTAGGCCGCTCGTCTAGCCAATCAGCCTTAAGCGAGCGGCCTGGCCGTTGGAATGGCCCAAGACCGGTCCCCGTCGGGAGGGACTCTGGAAGAGGAGAGCAACCAGGTGCCCGGGGGCGTCCCGCCCACATCCGGATGACCTCTCCTCCTTCGACCAGCCGTCCCCGTGGTGGTCACGCGGCCTCTGGCTGGAACGGGATCTACCTCGCAAGCGAGTCACCCGGGCCGGCGCGCGTCTTCCGGGAGAGGGGCGGGAGCGAGGGACCTCCTTAGTAAGCCGGCATGCAGGCGCATGCACGGCCGTTCAGAAATTTTCCCGGCCGCTGGAATGGCTGCGCTCCCGCCCCTCACGCCGGGTTGAGGGGAGGACGACTGTCTCCGCAGGCGGACCTCAGTTACGAGCCGCCCTCCCCTCGAGACGCGAGGCCGGCGCACTCGGGGCCGAGCCCCAGCGTGCACCGTCCCACACGCCTCACGCGGCCTCTGGCTGGAACGGGATCGCAAGCGAGTCCCCCAGGCCGGCGCGCGTCTTCCGAGAGAGGAGCCGGAGCGAGGGACCTTCTTAGTTGTCCGGCATGCAGACGCATGCACGGCCGTTCAGAAATTTTCCCAGCCGTTGGAATGGCTGCGCTCCCGCCCCTCACGCCGGGTGGACAAGCGGGGGGGAGGTCAATGACCTGCCTAGTAAGCCGACATGCCAGGCATGCCGACCTTTCGGAGCCCCCCCTCGTAGACGTGTGCCGCTGGGATCATTCCAGTAAGCCCGAGGGCGACGGTCCCCCGGTAGTAGACGTTGGCGCCGAAGAGGGAGGAGTCGCCGAAGGTCGGGTAGTCGTCGGTCATGCGGGGGGGGGAGGAGTCGGCGAGCAGCAGGGAGGAGAAATGCCTGAGAGGGTGGGAGGGAGGCGTGAGGCGCGAGGTGAGGGGCGTGGGGGCGCAGGGCGTGCGTGGGACGCGAGGCGTGAGGCGCAGGGCGTGGGGCGGGAGGGCGCGGGGCGCTCGAGTGAGGGCAGGGTGTGTTGTGTGTGTGTGTGTAAATGTGTGTGTGTTGTGTGTGTGTGTGTGTTGGTTTGTTTGTGCGAGAGCTGGGCAGGGCAGGGCAGGGCGGCGGCGAGCGGCGAGCGGCGAGCGGCGTCGGCGAGATCGGCGACGAAGAGAGGCGATGGTGACGTACACGGCGGCAGTGTTCACGGCAGCAGCGCCGGTGGCGGCCCCGCGCAGCGGCGGCGGCGCCCTGAGTGAGGCAGGCTGCCCTGCACAGCCTGCTGGGCACGCTCCCGCCGAGCGGCGCGCCATGCGGGCCCGCCGCGGGCGACGCGGGCGGCGAGCCGACACGCGTGTCGCAGGCGTAGACAGCACTGGCGAGGCGAGGCGGCTGGCGCCGGTCCCGGAGGCGGCTGCAGGAAGAGCAGCGAGGCAGAAGTCACTGTCCAAGGCGTACTGAGCAGGCTGCCATCGAGCAGCGCGCCATGCGGGCCTGCCGCCGGCGACGAGATTGGAGAGCCGACAGGCATCGAAGAGGTAGGTACTGAGGAGGGCCATCGCGCCCGAGGCGGTCCGCGCCGGCCCTGCAGGCCGTCTCAGAGAGCCTGGCGAGGCTGTACAGAATGCCAAGAGCATACTGGGCAGGCTGCCGTCGAGCGACGAGCCATGCTGGCTCGTCGCAGGCGATGAGGTCGAGGAGCCGATCGGAGCGTCGCAGAGGCTGCCGACCACTGCCGTTCGCCCTCGGGCCCAGGGGTGGAAGGCAAGCTTCCTGGCGTTTCTGGCGAGCGTCCAGACGTCGCAGAGCATCCGGCAGGCGCGCAGCGACCCAAATTTTTGCTCACCGCACGGCCGTGCGAGCCGTCGGTCGGTGGTGATGGTCGGCGTCGGCGCGCGCCGACCGACGCGGCGGCGGTGGGCGTCATGTGGCGGGCGTGGGAAAGAGCATTGTCCGAATTGCGGCGGACGTCCCTCGGTACGATAGTTTAGTGCGCTATTTAGTGCGTGTTCGAGTGCGTATTTAGTGCGTCTTTAGCGCGAAATTAGCACAAATTTAGCACATATTTAGCACATATTTAGCACATATTTAGCACATATTTAGCACACATTTAGCACATATTTAGTGTGTTTTATCTCCAATTTAGCGCCACATTTAGTTCACTTTAGGTGTGGGCAGCTGCAGTACATTTAGTGTGGGTCCCGCATCTTTAGTGCGGCACGCATCTTTAGCACGGCTTCCCAGCCACACCACAGCTAGCCAGGGCCGCGTGCTTTGCTCCTTGGCTGCCAAGAATGCACCACAGGAGATGCCTGGCCCCTGCCCTCATGACCCAAAGGCAGGCTCCCAGACCCAGTGAGGCTAGATATGCAGCCCTCCAGAGCAAGATCTCCCGACTGACACCGGCACATAACCGATTCCCGAGAGGAGGACCAGCACAGTTGAATGCGCCACCGCAAGCACCACCTCCGACCGCACAACCCATGCTGTGCCCGTGACCACCAGCTGTAATAGAGAGAGAGATTTTTAGCAATACCAAACAAATCTAACACTCACACGTCATTTGGGGCCTGGAGCCCTGTTCACGCGCGCGCGTTGTGTTTTGTTTGCTGTAATAGAGTAGAGGTGAGGGTCGGTCTTGGAATTTCAAAGCCAATGTTGAACCAAAGGATGAAGGATCCAGACCACGAGGACAGAAACGGCCAAATGGCAATGATCCGTAGTCACCGCAAGCAGCTTTACATACGCGTGTACTCGTAGCATGTTGGATCCAGCCCCAGCCATGCACCCGGAAAGCACCCCCTTGAGGTTGATATTCAGCTGAAGAACCTTCTTCGTTCGGTTGGTTGGGGATGGGACGGGGAACTTTTGCGAGTGGGCAGGGAACTAGGGGGAGAGGGGGAGGGAGGCCCAGCGAGGGTCTGCGGCTGGATCCTACTGCGCGGCTGGACTAAAGACGCACTAAACCTCGCTAAATCTGGATGTAAAGTCGCAGTGAACTCGCGCTAAATTTGCGCTAAATTTGCGCTAAATTTGCGCTAAATTTGCGCTAAATTTGCGCTAAAGTTGCGCTAAAGTTGCGCTAAATTTGCGCTAAAGTGCGCTAAAGATGCAGTAGATAAACACTTCACACCGCACTAAATTTAGACCCAGGCGCCCTCCTAAAAAGACGGCTGCCGCAGGGAGCCGCAGGTGCTCAGTTTTGCGGCGTTTTGGGGCGAGAAGCTTTCGCCCCTCCCAGGACGCACCTCCGACGCGCTCCCATGCCGCCGGCCAAGCGCGCCAAAGTCACGGGCTGTGGTGAAGGCCCGCCGCCCGCCGTCACGATCGAGATCGATCCCAAGGACGACGATGACGAAAGCTACGAAGACGACGACGACGACCCGCTCGGACACCGGGGCGACTATGAGTGCACCCGCCACTTTGGAGCGAAGATCCTGGTCACTGGGGCTCCGGCGGGGTCGCTTTCCGCGGTACTCGTCAATCGCAGCATGGCCGGCTCGTGCTTCCACAGCGCGTGCGACGCGGAGAGCGGCGAGCTCCAGGAGATCGGCTGCCTCTTCTTTGGCAGCAGTGGCCAGCCCCGCTACACCGCTCTCAAGAGCGACGCGAGCGCGAAGCGCGGTGGCTTCCTCTACCTTGCGACGTTCGAGATCTCGGCAGAGCATCGCGTCAACGGCGCCACCGACATCGGTTCCGCAGCCATCAAGGCCCTCCTTTCGTGCGCGGAGGTGTCGGGTCGTTGGAGCGTCGCTGCGTACATTGCCGACAGCTCGGCGAGCCTGACTCCGGCAGAGAAGTCACAGGATCGGGCGGAGGCGATGGAGCGCATGCATGCGCAGATGGGGCGGGGGGCGCACACGGAGACTCCCGCGGACAGGGCCGCGCGCGTCGCCAAGATCCACGCCCGCATGGCCGCGGACTGCCGGCAGTTTCTTCGGGCCGGCTTCGCGGAGGCCAAGCACAAGGACGGCGGCTGGCTGTACATCACCAAGGACATGCTACGCCGCGCGCCGCCCATGTCGCACGAGGCCGCGCTTGCCGTGCCGCTGCGCCTCACGCCCGCGGCCGGTGGCCCGGGCGCGTCAGCCTCCGCCTCGGCCTCTGGCACCAAGACGGCCGAGGATGAACGGCTGCTCCGCGCCCTCATCAAGAGCTCGTCCGAGAAGCAGACCGCCGCGTCGCAGCTTGCGCAGATCGACGCCGCCGTGGCGGGGGGCGCCGACCTCACTCGCGCGGCGGTCTTGCAGTGCTGCGCGGCGAACGGCACGACAGAGCTGATCCAGCCGCTCCTCGCGCGCGGCGCCGACATCAACTCCGAAGACGAGCACGGCTGCACGCCGCTGATGATCGCTGCGCAGGGCGCGCTCCGGAAGCTGTCGCTCCACCAGCGGACGCACGACTCGAGCATGATCTCCCACCTGCTCGCCCTCGGCGCGGACAAGGGCGCCACAGACCCCGACGGCTGCTCGGCGCTCGGGCACTACTACAAGGCGGTGTGCAGCATGAACGACTTCAACGCGGCGCTCATCGGCGGCCCGAAGGCGGTCGTGGACCAGACGGTCGTGGCGATGCTCACCCCGGCAGGCGGCCCGACCACGGCCGACAAGGAATGTGCCGACGACCACTGATCACTGAAACATGAAAGGGTGGGAGGGGGGCGTGGTGGTGGGTGGTGGTGGGCGGGTGGGTGGGGGGTCCCGGGGGCGGCTTAGGCGTAGGGGTGGCTAGGGGTGTGCGCAGGGGGCCGGCCGGTCGCTCCGGTCGGATGTGTGGGGACGCCCCGGAGCGGCCGCGGCGGGGCGCGCGACGCGTCCCGCCTACCGCCCCCTATACCCCCGCCGCGGCGGGGTGTGCCACGGTTGGCGTGAGTGAGCGGTTCTCCGGCTCCGCGGTCGATTTTTACTACACGTATTGCTACTCGAGTAGGGGGTACTCGCTTAGTGTGGGTAAACCATAAAAGTAGATTTGAATATGTCCACGACGTCCACCAGGTCATGCAAAACGGGCCCTGAGTGTCACCAAAAGGTGTACATCGGTACACTGACGTCCGTTAGACGCGCCTGAGCCTGTTTCAACTGGGCCAGGGGCTGTATCTAGCATAACAACAACACACATGGTGCTCACAAGCCACCTCAGGGTCCACAGTGGCCATTCAAACGCGCTCCCCGGACCCCGGCGGGACACCGTCCCACGACCCGGTTTCGGGGTCTTGCCACTCCCAACCCGGCAGAAGGGAGCCAAGATCCACGCGAGTGAACGGCTTATCCAGCGCAGCAGCCAGCCTCTCCCTCAGGGCAGTGTAGTTCTCCTCTACCTCCTCCATCCCCGACCAATACCTCAGGGCGGAGGGGGCCCAGAGGAACCTAAAGTGCGACACGTCTTGCAGAGCGTCAAGCCAATCGCTCTTGATCGCGCGGTCCTCCTCCCACGCGTCGCGGCTGAAGGCCGTCTCCGCCATCTGCACGTACGCCTGGTGGATCCTCTTCCCGCAGCGAGACGCCAGCTCGAGGAGAATGTGGGCGTCCTCGGCCGACATCGCGGCCTTGCGACAGTACTCCTGCGCCTCGGCCTGCCGCAGAATCGAGACCTCCTGCACCGACTTGCTGTGGTCGTCGGCGTCCTTGACCTTAAACTCGAGCTCCTCCACCCGCTTCTCGAGCTCGCGGATGCGGCCCACCAAGTACTCGGTGGCGAGCGGGTCGCGAGGGGCGCGGCCGCCGCTCCCGCCGCTCTCCATCACCCGCCGCACAAAGGCCCGTTCCTCCCACCCCTCGATGCCACGGGGCGTCGGGGCGGGAGGCGGCGGCGGAGGCGTGCTCGTCTCTGGCAGGAAGCCCGAGTAGATGGCGCCGCGCCGCTCCAGCATGCCGACGACGCGCTCCAGTACCGCCGCCACCGCAGCGTCGTCGCTGCCGCGCGCCGCCCGCGCCTCCGCCTTCGCGGCCGCCGCATCCTCCTTGCCCATGTTGACGAGCCGGGTGGAGACGCGCGCGCCCGCAGCCTCGGCCTCTTCCGGCGACAGCATCGGCGCGCCGACCATGTCGCACAGGAGCTGCGCGAGCGCCTTCTTTTTGGACACCTTTCCCTTCAGGCCGGCTCCGTCGGCGGCGAAGAGCGCCTTAATGGCATCATCTGCACACTCCATCAGCTGGAAGGTGACCACTGGGGCGACCCGCGGCAGCCCGGAGGGCTGGTACGCTTGGTCCAAGCCGAAGAGGATCGCCTCCGCACGCCTGACGAGCGCCTGGCGGGTCAGAAGCTGAGCCGTGCAGCGGGCGGCGCTGTATGAGGCCAGAGAGGACAGGGCAGCACTCTCTGCCAGCTCTTTGGGCCTTCGAGCGGCGTCGAGGTGAAGATCGGGGCAGGAGGGCTGTCTTCGCCAGCCATTGTGGCTGCCCTTCCGTGTACACCGCGCCGCGCGCGGCACCCCCACCGACTCTACCTCCGACCCCAGGGCCTAGGCGGCCCGCCATGAAATCTAGCCGTGTGTGCTGGCGTCCGGGTCCCAGCGGGTTTTCACGTAACAAGTACACACACCGCGGAATAAAACTCAGTCTTATTTTGCATGACCTGACGGCTTCGTGAGTGCTCTTGGGGTGGCCTCAAGCATCTCCCCAAGGGAGCCTCTGCGGTGCCACATAAGCAACTTGGTGATTGTCGAGACTTTAAAGGATTCGTTTGAAGAAACGCAAACAGGCCAGACACTACTAAGGCTAGTGCCATTTCACTCTGACACGCTAATCTTGAAAACGTCTCCCCAACGGAGCTCCGTGTTGCTTCCAGCGCCCTCCCCCGCGCTCCCTGCGGCCATGGCCGATGCTCCTAGTATGAGAGGTCATCTGGCTACGGCTCTACCGCGAGAGCGACCCAACTCGTCGACATCGTCCGATGATGGTGCCGCAAAGTCAGCCTTCGGAGGCTATTTGGGGCCGAGCCGGCAGTAGCCGTGACATGTGGTTCCACCACCCCTCGTAGGCTTTGCCTCTGATCGCCACCGTTCCCAGGCTGCCTAATGGGATGGAAAGGAAGGCTCAGCGAGCGTATAGAAGCGTGCTCGACCTCGTCGTGGCAACCTGCACGGCAGCGCTTCAGAGCAGGTGACGACTCTGAACGCACTGACATCGAAGACAGAGAGTAGCGCGGCTGTGCCAAGCGCCGTCGTGCGAGAGTCAGCCTCGGCAAGCTGCTCAAGGAGGAGGGGCCGGCTAAGCAGGCGTGCGTGAATGGCGGCAGCGAGATAGCCCTCCATGGCGGCCCAAATCGTAGAGCGGCATGTGGCATAGGTGCAACCATGCGCATCGCCTCCTCCGCAGCTTCCATCGCAGAAGCTGTGGTGAATTACTCGCAATGCCTCTGCGTAAGCCATGCGGCGGCGGTAGCCAGGGGCGCCGATTCCCTTGTGCTTAAGGTAGGCGCGTTGGATGATAATGGCCGCGGCGTGGAAAGGCGCATACTCGATCACAGAGTACCATGGCTCGAACACCTGCTCGGGGATACACTCCTCCGCCAGCTTCGCAGCTGGCGTCCCATAGTCGAGAATGGCGGTATTGCCACGAGGCTTGAGCCCAAAGCTGCGCAAAACACATTCGAGGTAGTCGCCATAGCATGGGCAGTACCACGAGGTCACATGCGTGGAATCGCCCTGGCAAGACTTGTCGAAGAAAGGCGGCAGGTGGTGGCCCGAGCGCATAGCCGAGCGCTTGGACGGGCCATTCAGGAACAGCAGGTTGGGGTCGAGCGCGCCGTTGAGGGTGAGGGCGGCGTGCAAATCGTCGCGGGGGACGCCGTCCCGCCACTTTTCTTGCAACGCAAAATTGGCCTCACGATGCATGTACCAGTCCAGGGATCGATCGTACTCACATGCCTTCCATGTCTCGAAGGCCTGGGCCGCTAGTCGCTGGACGAGGGCCGGGTCATTCGCGCACAATACCTCGGTAAGGCGCTCGTAGAGCTCGGGCGAGACGGAGCCAAGGGGAACGAGGTCGCCGTGGCTCTCCGTCCAAAGTCCTTGCCCGTTGTGGCCCAGCCAGAAGGCGTCAAAGTCAGCAATCGACTCGACATCTACCCATTGTCCTCGTAGGTAGAGCCCCATGAACCGTGGTCCAGCCTTCTCAAGGAACTGAACAGGGATCGAAATGGGGCAGTCCGAGAAACGGCCCTTGAGTCGGGGGTCGTCTGGGATAACGCCAGCGAAAGACCTGGTAGGGGTCACCGTATCGACGCGTGAAACTGACTTGATTGTTGCATATTCTCCGGAGAATTCGCTCTCACGCGTAATCTTGACGCGGTCGCCAATCTCCAGCCCTGAGCCGATTGAGACGCCGTGTGTCGCGTCCGGTCGTGCAGGCGCGAGGGGCGAGAGGCTCGTATGCATGGCGATGACCTCGCCTTGCTCGCCAAAAGGGTCGAGCGGGTTGTCGAATCCTGCGCCCACAGCTAATTCAGCCAAGCTCGGACGCTGGTCGCGGTCGACAAAATGGTTGAACTCCTCTGACGTCGGCATCGGCCAGTCACCGTCGAAGGAGTCGGCAGGGCTTGCAGTAGCGACCCCGCCGCTACCAATCTGCACAATCTCCAGGCGGGGGAGGCGGTCCGCGCCGCCTCCCTGCCGGTGCGGGCCGTCAGCGTACACTGTGAAGCCATGCTGCCCTCCCGAGGTCTCTGATAAGAGAAGGTTCCCGGAAGTCTCCACTTTCTGGCGCTTGGCTCGGTCCCCCGCGAAAGACACCTGCGGGGGCGCAAGCGCGCCGCTGACGCCCGAGGGGGCAAGGCGGCTCGCGGCAGCTTCCCATGCCGCCTCCGCCTCTGCGCCCTTGGGTGCGGGCCCTCGGCGGGAAGGGGCTTCACTCGCCGCTTCCGCCTCTACCCCCTGGTGGTGAACCCCCGGGGTGGCCCTGGTGATGGGTAAGCGTGCCTCCTCCTCCCGCGCGGCCCTTGACCACGGGCCGCCGGGAAGCTCGAGGCCCCCACTCATGTAGCGTCTCTTCACTCGGATGCTCTGAACGGGTTTTTACTTCTCACACCATTAAAGAAAGAAATACAAAAAGTCCCCCCACTTAAATCGGCCAGCCGCCACTCCGCTTGTGGCTCGGCCGATTTTGCCCGAGTGGCCAATTCCCCCCACACACTTACTTAGACGAGACACGATCTCTATCTCAACATATCTCCTTCGACGCCGCATTTCCAAGTTTGGTGCCCGAGTGGTCAACTATGACCAAACTTGGTCGGTTATAACCGATGGCGTCCACTCGATCGAACCTCGAGACCCCAGTTCGAGATCGAGTGTCTCGAATCTGTGTCATAATGCGGTTCGTATGCGTACGTCCGTGTGTGTGTGTGTGTGTGTGTGGTGGGGGGGGAAACACGTGTGAACACAGTGTGTGTGAATTCAGGACGAGCAGCCTCCTACCTGAGCCCATCTCTCCTGAGCCCAGAAAAAAAAACTTGTTGGTTACGATGTGTCCGTCCCCCCCCTACGATCGATGGTCCGCGTTCGTCTGGACGTGGGCGGCTGGCATGTCGTCGTCACCGGCGAGCACGCAGTACTGCCCGAAGGCATGACGCACCTTCCGGACAGGGCGTTCCGCATGCGCACCACTCTCGTGTCTGTCGCCTTTCCGCACAGCCTCGTCTCCATTGGTAGCTGCGCCTTCCACAGCTGCTCCGCCCTCGCCTCCGTCGCCCTTCCCGCTGGCCTCACCTCCGTCGGCGACGGTGCCTTCTACCACTGCTCCGCCCTCGCCTCCGTCAACCTCCCTGCCGGCCTCACCTCCATCGGCCAGCAAGCCTTCGACGGTTGCTCCGCCCTCGCCTCCATCAACCTGTCCGCCGGCCTCACCTCCATCGGCAGCAGCGCCAGCGTCACCTCCATTGGCGACCGCGCCTTCTCTGGCTGCTCCACCCTCGCCAACGTCGCCCTCCCCGCCAGCGTCACCTCCATCGGCGACAGCGCCTTCTCCCGCTGCTCCGCCCTCGCCTCCATCTCCCTCCCCGCCGGCCTCACCTCCATCGGCAAGCACGCCTTCTGGGGCTGCTTCGCCCTCTCCTCCGTCGACCTCCCCGTCGGCCTCACCTCCATCGGCAACTACGCCTTCTGCGGCTGCACCTCCCTCCGCTCCATCACCCTCCCCGCCGGCCTCAGATCCATCGGCCAGGAAGCCTTCAAGGGCTGCTCCGCCCTCGCCCGTGTCGCCTTCCCCGCCGGCCTCAGATCCATCGGCTTCTGCGCCTTCGCCGACTGCTCCGCCCTCGCCCGCGTCACCTTCCCCGCCGGCCTCACCTCCATCGGCCAGCAAGCCTTCTACCGCTGCACCTCCCTCGCCTCCATCAGCCTGCCCGGCGGCCTCACCTCCATCGGTTGGCACGCCTTCTCGAGCTGCTCCGCCCTCGCCCACGTCACGGTACCAACCACCGCGAAGTTCGACGCCTCCGCCTTTTTCACCGACACCGTCGTCCTCCGCCTCCCGCCGGCAAAGATGCGCACACTCAAGCGCTGGTACGAGGCGGTGGACCTGGTGCTCGCCCACAAGCGCTGCCGCCCTGGCCTTCTCGGCTGTCTAGAGCGGGCTCGGAGCAGGCTCGCCTCGAAAGGCTCGGGTGGCGCGGCGCGCAAGCGTGATCGCGGGGAGTTCGAGGGCGACTTTGCGGAGGCGGAGGCGGAGGCGGAGGCGGCGACGCCAGAGACGGCGGCGGTGACGGCGGCGGTGGCGGATGCTGCGATGGAGGCAGCAGATGCTGGCATGCCGGCTGCGCAGCAGCGGGCGGCGGAGGAGAAGGAGGCGGCTGTGCCGGCTGCGCAGCAGCGGGCGGCGGAGCCTTCAATCGACGCGCGGGGGCACGCCACCGTGCCAGAGGGCATCACTTCGATCTGTGACGCAGCCTTCGAGGGCCGCTCATCCCTCATCTCCGTCACCTTCCCTGCCACCCTTACCTCCATCGGCAACTACGCCTTCTGCGGCTGCACCTCCCTCCGCTCCATCACCCTCCCCGCCAGCCTCACCTCCATCGGCCAGGAAGCCTTCAACGGCTGCTCCGCCCTCGCCAGCGTCGCCTTCCCCGCCGGCCTCACCTCCATCGGCTTCTGCGCCTTCGCCGACTGCTCCGCCCTCTCCTCCGTCAACCTCCCCGGTGGCCTCAGATCCATCGGCGACTTAGCCTTCTGCCGCTGTTCCTCCCTCGCCTCCATCAGCCTGCCCGCCGGCCTCACCTCCATCGGTTGGCACGCCTTCTCGAGCTGCTCCGCCCTCGCCCACGTCACGGTACCAACCACCGCGAAGTTCGACGCCTCCGCCTTTTTCACCGACACCGTCGTCCTCCGCCTCCCGCCGGCAAAGATGCGCACACTCCAGCGCTGGTACGAGGCGGTGGACCTGGTTCTCGCCCACAAGCGCTGCCGCCCTGTCATTCTCGGCTTTCTAGAGCGGGCTCGGAGCAGGCTCGCCTCGAAAGGCTCGGGTGGCGCGGCGCGCAAGCGCGATCGCGAGGAGTTCGAGGGCGACTTTGCGGAGGCGGCGGCGGTGATGGAGCCGCCGGTTGAGCGCGACCGCGCGACCACCGACCGTAAGCTGGGGGCGGGCTCCTTCGACCGCGGCTGGCGCATCCGCGAGCGCTACCGCGGCGGCGCCAAGAGCGGGCAGTGGAGCTACGTGAGCCCGACGGGCGACGCCTTCAGCTTGGCGCTAGAGGCTGCTGAGGCGATAGAGGACGAGGCGGTGGCGGCGGCGGCGGCGGCGGCAATGGCGGCTGCGGAGGCGCCTCAGATGGAGGGGAGTGCAGCGATCGCGGCGGTAGATGCCGTGGTGGCAGAGGTGTCGCCGCTGCCTGCTCGCCCGTCCCGAACCCTGCCCGCGCCCCTCCCACACCACCACACCCGACGCTTGTCCTTCTCCCGCCCGCTCAGGCGCCGTCGAGGCCTTCGCCCGCGCCGAGCAGCAGCAAGAAGCGGGGCGGCGCCAGCGAGCGGAAGAAGCCGCGCTCCCCACACCGCTCCCCGCACCTCGGCTGGTCTCCAATCACAGAGGAGCAGCGCACCTCTCTCCGCGAGGAGGAGGAGGGGTGGCTCGGCGAGTTCGAGGCGTACTTTCGCGGCAAGCTCTCCCACAAGAACGCGCAGCAAGTGATGAAGCACATCACGCCCCTCGTCGCTGGCAAAGGCGTCAATTTCGGACCGGGCGTCGGCAACTTTCTCGCCGGCATCCCCGTCACCCTCTCCTCGGACGTCGCCAATATCCTCGACGCGCTGCACGCCGAGGGGAACGCCGCCGTGCGCGACCACGACGATTTAAAGGGTGGCTGGCACCTCCGCCACCCGCTCTACAAGCTGCGCGAGTTCCAGGCGCACAAGCTCGGCATGTGAGCGCCGCGTTGGGCCGTTGGCTGTAACCCATTCGCATGTGGTTCTATATCTCTATTGCTCGCTCGCATAGGGGCGGCGCCAGGGGCGGTCGCAACGGCGGCGGTCGCAACGCCACGCAAGCCGCCGCGCGACCCCGTGTCGCGATCGATTGGCTCAAGGCCCCCTCCGCCGCAGACTCCGCCGTCGCCGCCGCCGTCAACGCGCCCGCCACCGCCATTACCGCTCCACCTCTGGCGACGGCAACGCAGCAGGGCAGCGGCGACGCGGAGCGACGACAGAGCGAGCTCGCGCCGCCGCAGTCGCTCACCGTGGGCGGCGACTCCTCCGCTCCGTGGGCGTCGAACCGCCACGGCGCGGGCCCACCTTCGCTGGAGGTGGGCTCGTGGGTGTGGGCCAAAGACAGCTCCGGCAAGTGGGGCAAGGCGACAGTATTGGCGGTCAAGGGCGGCGCTGCGGCGGAGCTTGGCGACGAGCAAGAGCTGAAGCTCGCTCTGCTCCTCTCGACGCTCCGCCCGGAGGCTTCGGGCGTCGCGCTCGCTGCCAAGTTCAAGCGGCTGGCGAGCGGCGAGGCGCCCTCCCGCCCGACCACGGCGTGCGTGCGCTTCTTCCTCTTCTCGTCGAAGCACGACGTGGCCGTCCCTGTCGGCTGCGGCAGGCTGCGGCCCTTCGAGGCGTGGGCGGACGTCGAAGGGCGGCTGCGCCCGGCGTGGTCGGCGACGGGACACAAGTGGCTCGGCTTGCGCGTGGCCCGGAGGTTTCACCCAGCAGGGCGCTCCGTCGTCAAGTGCTACGGCACCGTGACCAGCTGGGTGCCCGCCGACGAGACGGAGAAGGACCCGCCGCTCTGGCGCATCGAGCACGACGACGGCGACAAGGAGGACCTCGAGGAGGAGGACGTGCGGGCGGGGATCGAGCTCTTCCAGAAGGAGGGGAGCGCAAAGCGCGGCCGAGCAGAGGCCTCTGAGAGGCTGTCCAAGGCGGTTCGCACGGCCGAGGCGGCGGAGAAGGAAAGGGCCGCAGAGGCGGCAAAGGCGGCGGCGGCGGCGGCGGCGGCGGCGGCGGCCGACGCGCCCAGCCATCATGTTCGCATCGCAAGCGGGCCGCACATGTACCGCAGCGGCATCGTCGCCTCCCAGAAGAAGGGGTGGACCACGGTGCTGCTGGAACCACGAGGAGATACTAGCTGGGTACGAGGATTTATGGAGGAGGTGAGGGTGCCCACGAAGGACGTGGTGTGGCCCAGCGCAGCGAGAGAGCCGCCGAACCAGGCGGCGGCAGCGGCGGCGGCGGAGCAGGGCGATCGCGGTGGCGGCGGCGGCGGCCACAGGGGCGGCGCCAGGGGCGGTCGCAACGGCGGCGGTCGCAACGCCACGCAAGCCGCCGCGCGACCCCGTGTCGCGATCGATTGGCTCAAGGCCCCCTCCGCCGCAGACTCCGCCGTCGCCGCGGCGGGGCTAGCCACTTCGGCGGGCGAGGGCAGCAGCAGCAACAGCAGCAGCAGTGCTACTGGGGAACCGGACGATGGCAGCAGCAGCAACGACAGGGCTGAACCCGCTGTGGTGGCAGTCGGCGAGCGCAGCGCGTCTGAGCGAGACAACGCGCTGCTGGCCGAGGCCATCGACGTCGACGCCCTTCCCTCTCGCCGCGTCCCGAAAAATGTGGATCGCTTCAACCCCGTGCGGAAGGCCGAGCCCCGGCGTTCGAAGCGCCCGGTGCCAGCGCCTCCACAGGCCGCCGCTGGTCCGTCTCGCTCGATTGTGAAGCAGGAGGATAAGGCGGGCAAGCGAGGGCCCGTCACCGTGGTTTGCCCTAGCTGCCGCGAGGCGTGGCAGATCGGCGGCGGCTGCAGCCTGATGACGTGCAAAAAGGACCACGACGGCCGCGGCTGGTTCTACTGGTGCGCGCACTGCAACAGGGAGATGCCGGGGGGCGCGCATTGCAATACGTGTCCGATGGACTTTAACGTGGAGACGGTGCAAATGGTGACGCAGCGCCGCAACAACTTTGCTCGCCGAAACCCGATAAACATATAGCACAGTCACAGATGAAGCTCGTGTGGGTCGCGCGCCGGCTCCCAAAAAGAGCTGGACCTACAATAAGTCTGGCGCGCAGGCCCTTTTCTCGTGAACGTCCCACGCGGGGGTGGGCATGTACAGGTTTTTGAGATTGGTACGTAAACTGGGGTCCACACGTGCGTCATGACAACACATGACCTGTGTGTGCTGTGTGTCCAGCAGTCCGGACCCGGTGCTACAGCCGGTGACAGTGTGCCTCGTGTCGGCTCCCGAGCCAATCGTGTGCAGCGTGTGTGTGCGTGTGGGCCCGTCCTCCATGCGAGGCAGCTGAACTGAACTTTTGCGAGAAATTCTTGCTCGCGGGGGGGGGCGGGGGGGGGAGGGGGGTTGGGAGTCTTGGGGCTAGGACGCTCGCTAGCTGGTGGAGCTTGCCGGAAGCGCGCGCGATGGTCACAAACTCCACCCACAGCACCCAGCTCGCGGACATCTTCTTCCGCGCCGACAAGGTGCTCAGCGAGGCGGACCTCGCGCGCACAAACGAGCTGCGGCGCACCTACCGGCAGTGGCGCAGCGGCTCGTCGGTCGAGCCGCACGCAGACCCGCTGCAGGCCAAGCTGAGCGCGAGCACGGAGGAGACGCGGTCGCGCGCCAAGATGCGGCGCGTAAAGACGTACGGCCAGCTCGGCTCAGCCTCGGGCTCGGATACCTCCTCCACATCGCCTCCGCCGTCAGAGGCGCGCGCAGACACGCCTCGCTCAGGGCTTTGGCGCGGCCGCGTCCGTGCCACCCCGCTTTACCTTCCCGTCCAGGCGCTCGCGTCACTGGCGGCGCCTGGCAGCAGCAGCGGCGGCGGCGGCGCGCCGGCGGCGGCGCCCAGCGCGGCGGGCAGCGGCGGCGGCGGCGGTGGCCCGGCGCCCTCCCCAAAGAGGCCAATCCTGGCCGCCGGGGGCTGCCCGTTCCCGCAGGGCGCGCTGCCGCCGCCCGTCGCGCTGCCCACCGCGAGCGTCGCCGCGCCCGCCTCATCCCTGCTCCCCGGCGGCTGCCCCTTTCGCCAGCCGAGCGGGTCCACGCCACCTCCCACCGAGCTGCCGCCGGCGAGGGCGCAGGGCGGCACGAGCAGCCTGCTCGGCCCGACGCCGCTCCCTCCGGCGCCTGCTGCTGGCCACGCCGGCGCGGCGCCCGCGGCGGGGGTGCCACCCCTGTCGGCGGAGCAGCTCGCCGCCTTCCAGGCCGCCTACATGAAGGCGCTGCAGGAGCAGTCGGTGCGGGACACTTCCGAGACGCTTCCGAGACACTTCTGATTTCGAGGCCAACTTCAGACACTTTTCTACTGCCCGCTCTGCGTCTGCGTGATAGAGGGACACTTCGAGACACTTTCCAGACACTCTCGAGACACTCTCGACGCCCCTCCGAGACGCAGCGTCCATGTCTGTTTCTCTCCGCCCACGCACACACACCCCTGCGCAAGCGCACCCGCCCGGCTGCCAAAGCACAACGGCCCACGCCCGGCCCTCGCCTCGCGGCGCTGGCCCGCCGTTCGCACCGCGCCGCCGACAGCCCGCCGAATGAACAAACGCCCACTCCATCCCGGTCCGCAGGTGCTGCTAGCGCGGGCGATGGCCGGCGTGGCGCAGCCCGGCGCGGCGGGCCTCCCGCCCGCGCTGCTGCAGGGCGCGCTCTCGCCGCTCGGCACGCTGCAGGGCGTGACGGTCGAGGGGTCCGTCAACGGCACCGTGGCGAACGGCGCGATGGCGACCGTTGGACAGCAGCTGCAGTTGCAGCCGCCGCCGCCGCAGCAGCAGCAGCGCGCGCCTCTGCAGGCGGTGCTGAGGGGGGGCGCGGCGGCGCTCGCGGCGGGCGTGGCGCCCGACGGCGAGGAGGCGGACGAGGCGACCGACGGGACCGTCCTCGCAACCTCGTGCGCGCACGGGCCGCTCGTGACGCATCCGCACATGTCGAGTGCGCAGCGAGACGACACTTCCGAGACGCTCCTCGAGAAGACACTTCCGAGACGCTTCCTGTGCTGCCCGTCCGACGTTCCGCCGATGGTGTGGCGCACTCCGATCGCACCGCCACGCCCGGCACCCCCCCCCCCCACCACCACCACCACCACCACCACCACCACCACCACCACCATGCTGGCGCGGGCCACGTCAGCTGCCCCACGCTGTCCCGCGGAGAGAGACCCTTGACTTTCGACTTCTCTCCGCACCTCAGCCGCGAGCGGGATGCTCGTCTCCGTCTTTCCGTCCTCGAACGAGTCGTGGCTCTACGTGCTCATGAACGGCGAGTTTGGAGTGCCGGCGCGCTCGCCCGGCCCGCACGATGCCCCGCCCCCCTTTCCCGCCGCCGTTTTCCGCCCCGAAAACAAGTCGGGGCAAGACCCTTGCTGCGCCCCAAGCTCTCTGCCGCGCCCCTCCACACGCCCCCCCAAACCCCAACCCCAACCCTCCTCGCGCCGCCGCCGCTTCGCAGTTTGAGATTGGGGTGAGCGACAAGGGGGTCATCTACGGCAAGCTGCAGTTCCGGCAAAAGATGCAGCAGTGGGTCCTGCTGCGGGTTGAGCCGCGCGAGTGGCAGTCGCTGCAGCTCGAGTGAGATCAGAGACTTTGAAAGACGCCCCCCCCCCCCCCACCTTTGCTGCGCTGCCGCCTCTGTACGCACGCCGGGCGTCGCGCTCCGTCGCTCGCCGGCGCATGCGCTCACTCCGCGCGCAACACCCTCCTCCCGCCACACCCACGCCACTCCCACCGACGCTTCCGCGACACGCTGCCATGGACGCGTCTCCGCCTTGGCCCCGCGCCCGCAGGACGCTTCTCCCCGCGATGGTGCATGCGTGGGGGCAGCCGCTGCCGCCAAAGGGCGACGCGCGCTGGATCTGCTTCCCGTACCTGACCAAGGAGCCCGCCAGCACGCTCAATTTGCCCGAGCTCGCCGCGACGGGCAAGTACGACCTCGAGGTCAAGCCGGACGTCTCGCCGGTCAGCGGCACTTTCCGAGACGCTTCCGAGACGCTTCCGAGACGCTTCCGAGACGCTTCCGAGACGCGTCCGAGACGCGGAGACGCGTCCGAGACGCCGCAGTGTCGACGACACTCCCGACACTCCGGGCCCTTGCTGGAGCCCAGCAGCCTCACCGCAAGCCCCCCCCCCCCTTCTTCGAAGACGCTCGCTACAGTGGTGATGATGACCTCCGCCATATCCCAAAAGGTGATGCTCGACGCGCAGCTGCCCATCCCAGAGGCGGCGGTGCAGCGCGACGTCAAGGCGATCGGCGCGCGGCCGTCGCGCAAAGAGGCGGCGCCCAAGGCGGCGCGCAAGAGGCCTCAAAAGGGCGCGGCCGCCGCCCCGGCCGCCGCCCCCGCCGCCGCCCCCGCCGCCGAGGCGGGCGGCGGCGGCGGCGGCGGCGGGCGCAGCAGCTCGAAAAAGCCAAAGATCGATCCGGGGACGGCGCAGTGGGCGAGCCAGCGCCCCCCCGCGGGCGCAGCGACGGTCGCCGCCGGGCAGGGGGTGCTTCCCACGGGGCCGTCGAGCTCGGCCGACGGCGCAGGGGGCGCCGCCACGCTGGGCGCGGGCGACGCGGCGATGCGGCAGCTGCTGCAGTCGGTGCTGCGGCCGCAGGCTAACGGGATGCCCCCGTCTCGCTCGACGATTGAGCTGCTGCAGTACCTCGAGGGCGCGGCCCAGAGGACGATGCAGGGGCAGGGGCAGGGGGAGGGTGGCGAGGGCGGGCCGGTGATGCCCGCCGTCCCCTCCTCCAACTCGTTCGCCTCGCTGATGAGCTTGCTCAAGAGCTCAAACTCGCTGCAGCACCTCGCCGAGCAAGCAGAGGCGGGCGGCGCGCCGGCGCCGGTGCGCGTCCCACTTCGAGACGCCTCGAGATAGTCCCGAGACGCTCCCCGCTCGGCCCCTCGCCAAGCACGCGCCTCCAATCTCACGCTTCCCTTGCTGAGTCCCACGGCTCCTGTGTTTTGCGCGCACGCGACACCCCCGCAAGATGCCTACTAAGGTGGTACCTGCCTTATGCGCCCATCACACGTCCACGTCCCTCAGGGCACGTCCGAGCTCAACCTTGCGGCGCTCGTGCGCGCGGCATCGAGCAGCGACATGGGAGCGTCGGGGAGCATGCCGCCGCCGTCGGTGAGCGCCATTTCAGAGAGCGCGTCCGAGACGACCCCTGACCCGCAATGCACGAGATCCGGGCTTGTGCGAGTCACTTATGGGACACTTCCAAGCGACGCTCCCCTGGAGCCCAGCCTTCTAGCACCGCGCCGCCCCGCCGACCCGCCCCTCGCCCCGCGCCCTCCGCAGGTGCTTCCGTGGTCGGGGGGACGGCGGAACTCGTGGGGCAGCCTCACCGGCGCGCCGTCGACGGACGATTTGGCAGAGCTGACGGCGCTGGCAAACGGGCTCAAGGAGTCGCCGTCGGTGACGTCGCTGATGGAACTGGTGCGGTCGAGCTCGGCGGCGTCGCTGCTCGACCTCGTCGGCCAGCCCAACGGCAGCGCGACCAACATCGCCGGCCTCGAGTGAGCCGCCGCCCGCCGCCCGCGGCCGGCCCTCTGTGACTCTACTGCCGACTCCCATGCCGCGATCCCATGCCGCGTCGTGCCCATGCCCACGTCCAAGTCCTCGCCCGCGCCGTCCGCGTCCGCTCCCGCGCCACTCCCCTGAGGAGTCGCCAGCACAGCCGCCGCCGGCGCACCGCCGCCGGCTGGCTGTGGACACCGAGCCCCCGCCCATGTCGTGAGAGAAGCTCTGAGGCGGGGGCGAGTGCGCTATTGTGTGTGCGCCCGAGCCCGGCAACAGCGAGCGCCGCGCCCAGCGCGGCGCTGCGGCCTGGCTGCCGGGCGTGGGCGGGTGTGTCTACTGCTGGGGGGCGGGCGGGTCTCGGAGCCCCATCGCGGCGCCCGTCTGCGCGGCCGCGGTTCGGCTCTGAGTGACGCGGCGCCGCCCGTCCCCACTGTGACAGCTTTCTTCTCGTCTTGGGTCCGTACCTTCGTTGTTGAGTTATGTGTTTGCGCCGACGAGAAAAAAGACGCGCGAAACCAGAGGAAAATTACGTGCAGGCCACGTGCAAGGCCTAGCGCTACACGCGCTTTTTAGGCCTTGCCGTATGTGAATCGTGCGTGAGAGAGAGGCGGCAGCACCCACTGAGCACCCACCCACGGTGCCAAGGGCACAAACAATAGCAGGAACAACACAGGCGACAGGGCACGCGACGTGAGGCTAGAGCAGACTGCTCCGCCTTTCATCTGTCTGTGTTAGTGCCAGTGCGCGCCAGTCGCCGTGCGGGAGGAGCGCGGGATGAACCAGCCGGAGAACGCGATGCACCGCCTCGGGGAGGACCTCCGGGACGAGGCACGAGTCAAGGAGCTCGCCGAGAAATGGCGGCCCCGCCTCGCGGCGGCACGCTACATTAAGCAGCCCGCATAGGCAGGGGTTGGCCCCCGTCGCCCCCGCACGGCTCGCCAGCAGCGGACACTCAAGAGGAGGAGATACACACCACGAGATACACCGTTTCATTGCCTCGTCGGGGCTGTGTATCTTCCTCCTGCGCTCCCTGGCCCCGCACAGCGACTTGCGAGGGCTCGTCTTCGATGGGTTCCACGGTAATGCCAGCGCCGTCGGTGCCGCCCTACTCGCGCCAGCGCCCTCCCTCCCCCATAATTTGACTGGCTCTCGGGCCCCAGCCGTTCGCGAATGCGCCGTTCGCGCGCTCGACCCTTGGCGCGGCGGAGGCTCGCATTCACCACAGAGCGAGCCGCGTCGCCCAGTCAAATTAAGATAGCTACTTGACACCCTGGTGCACACTTGGAGCGCCTCCGCGCATCGCCCGTGTCGATCCCCATGTCAGACGGTAGCTCTGGAGTCCTGGCGCGCAGGGAGAAGGGCGAGGCACATTCCAGGCAGTGACCTCTCGCCCCTCTCCCGAGCCTGCGCAGGTGGCTGCTGCGCCCACAGACGGGCCAGTGCTGGGCACGCGCATCCTACAGTCGGAGGCTTGCGCCGACGCTCAGTTCGTGATTGCCGCTCTGCTGCCCCCGCGCGACGCCGCAGCGCTGTCGGGCGTGAACAAGGACTACTACTTCATCGCGCGCAGTCCGCTAATTTGGGCGTCGCACGTGCAGCACATTCGCAAGACGAACCCGGAGGTGCAGGCTCCGTTGGCGGTGTACGATGACCCGTACGAGGAGTACAAGGGACTTCGTGCTGCGGGAGAGAGGCACTCGGCCGAGGAGCTGGTCTCGCACGTCAAGTCTTTCAAGGAGAAGGAGCTGCTGCTCTTACGAACCTTCGGCACCGTGACGGAGCCGGGGACGGAGAGTGCCACTTTCGAGCCAAACGGCCCGATCTCGCTGCCTGTCCCGGCACAGCTCGCGCTGGAGCTGCTTTTCGCGCTGGACAACGTGCCGTCTTCAAAGGCGGCACCAGTCACGGGGGACGTGTACGCAAAGGTGCCCCTACCCCCCTCCACCCTTCACCGTTCCTCACGCCATCCGGGACCCTCTCCCAACTCCCTCTCACGCGGTTCCCTCCTCCTCCCTCCGCAGGTTGCGAGTATTCTGAGCGTTAACAAAACATCGCTCCGGAACTTGCGCGATAAGACGGTCGGCAACACGCGCCGTCCCCTCGACCTCGCCCGACGGCTGGCTGCGCCGTTCGGCGCGCCGGCGGAGGAGGGGGGCAGCAAGCGAGGTCGGAGGGCCGGAAAGGCGCGCAAGGCGGCTGCGCCAGCGCTCGACGGCGCGACGGTGGGCCTGGCGCCTGATCCGGAGCGGCGACCGCTACCTCCGGTCGCGCTCCCTCGGGGCGGCGCAGAGAGGTTGCAGCAGCGGAACGTCGCGCTTGTGGCTCGCATGGACGCGGAGGCGGAGGCGCACGCGGCTACAGCCACGTCTCTGCGCGTCGAGCAGCGCGCGCGAGCGCAGCTCACGGCGGAGGTGCAGAGATTGCGAGAGCGTCTGCAGGATGCGGCACACGTGTCGGACCAGCAACGTCTGGCGGCGAACGCTCGCATCGACACGCTGAACGGCACCATCCAGAGGATGCAGGCGCAGGCGGAGCGGCTGAGGCTGGCTGCCGCGTCCGCGCGCGCCGCGGAGCAAGCGGCTCGTGAGGGGCGCGGCGAGGCGCAGTTGCGTGCGTTCCTTGGCCAAGAGCATCAACGGCGCTTGGCGGCCGAGCGGCGCGTGGATGAGCTGGCTCAACTGCTGGCCGCCTCCGAGTGGCGCGGGAGCCTGGCCGAGCAGGCGTGCCTGGCCGCCGAGCAGCGAGCAGCGGGCGCGGAGGCCGGGCAAAGGTCGGCGGAGGCCGCGGCGGCCGAAGCGCGGGCGCGGGAGGCCGCATCTTCGTCTTCGAGGTCGAAGGCTTTAAAGAGGCGGTACGCGGCCGAGGCGCTGGAGCAGAGCCAGACGGGGAAGATCTCGCCGTCGAAGAGAGCCGTTGTGGCCGCGGTCGTGGGGCGTCCCGAGGTGGGCGACGCCATCACCCTCAACGGACAGAGGTTCGTGCGCGTCCCCGCAGCGCGTGTCGGCAGTAGCGATACGTCGGAACGGCAGGACCGGAGGCGTACACGCACTACGACGCAGGTGCTCGGGCACCTCGCGGGCGGTGAGGAGCACGTCGTCTCACTCATGCAGACGCACGCGCGCGCCAACCCTCGCTTGTACGCGCAGCTGGGCGAAAAGCTCAACAAGAAGCTGTCGACCGAGGAGACCGTCACGCTCGTCGGCGAGATGACTGGCGCGCTGGGCGAGTGCGTGCGCGGCTACCTGAAGGGCATCGGCGTCCAGATTGCGAACCGCTCAGAGGTCCGCGCTGCGCTGCGAGCCGGTGAGCACACGCACGAGACGGGGACGTTCACCGTCGCCGACGAGAAGTCGCCCTCGAAAACGAAGACTGCGGCGTGGATTCGCGTCGTCGACCTGTTGGCGAGCGTGCAGCAAATGGTGAGCGAGCACGCGGCGGCCGGCGACCTCGAGTGGCCGTCCTCGTGCAAAGACAGCGAGATCCAGGTGGTCATCACGGCGGACAAGGGCGGCGACTCCACAAAGTGGGTGCTCAAGCTGCTCAACACGCGGCACGCCGACTCGACGCGGTCGAGCCTGCTGCTGGCGCTGCTCACCAAGGTGAAGGACGTGTACGTGCACGTGCAGACGGTGTTCGAGCCGATCTACCGGCAGGCCAACGTGATCGAGGCGTTGGGCCTCACGGTGATGGCGCCGTGGAAGCCGCGGTTTAACCGTGCAGAGATCTGCTTGGCGAGGCAGCACCCCAACGGCCCCAACTATCCTGTCCGCGCGCCCCCAAAGGTTGCTGCGTATGACGCCGGGAAGGCGGTGCGCGTGATGCTGTCGGTGCTCTCCTTCCAGTATGGCGGCTCTGCAGTGTCCTTGTCGCTGCAGCCGCGGGCGCAGCAGTCGAGACGGGCGGCCTCGAAGAAGGCGGTGGTACCGGCTGCCAACTGGAAAGGCACGCGCAAGCAGCCGAGCGCGCCGGTGGCCGCGCCGGTGGCCGAGCAGGGTGAGTGCGCAGTTGGCATCGCGAGTGGCGAGAGGCGAGACTGAACCACCGGATGTCAGTGTACACCGCCAGCCGGGGTGGCTCTGCCTTGAGCCGGGGGTCGGGCATGCGCAGAGTGGCAGCGCAGGCACGCGCAAAGGCCGCGCGAGAGAGGTATGGGCGAAGTGCTTAGGCTCGAGGCGTGTGCTCTGGGCGGCTAAGGCTCAGAGGACGAACACGCCCGCCGGCTCCGAGACGCGAGCGGAGAGGTGCAACGGCAGGGCAGCTCAATGCACACCGAGTCGAGTCGCGGGGCGTCGTTACGCACGGGGTCTGTGTATCTTCGAAGCTGTGTCGTGTATCTTCGGTGTGTATCTTCGGTGTGTATCTTCGGTGTATCTTCGCGTGTATCTTCGTTTTTCGGCGTGGCCGGAATCTGGAGGCTTGGCGAGCCGTGCCCGGGGGGCCGTCGACACGACCGTGCTGGAGGTCGTGCTGGAGGTCGTGTCGGCAACTCCATGACCCACCTCGTCGCGGACGGCGACCTCGCCGCCACCGCCGACGACGCCGACGCCGCAGCGGACCTCTTCCTCGAGGCTGGCGTCTGCGTCTTTGAAGCAGCGCTGCCGCCGTCTCTCGTCGCCGCCTGCCGCTCGGTGCTCGAACGCAAGTCGCGGCTGCTGGACGAGCGCCTCGCGGCTCGAGGCGTCGACCTGCAGGCACCGTGGCGCTTCAACGAGGTTTGCCGCCGCCGCTTCGCTCGCTACGACCTCCGCGGCTGGGCGCTCTCCGACGCCATCTTCACCGAGTCTCTGCTGCTGTGGTCAGCCGCGCCGTGGCTGCCGTTTGTGCGGAGCGTGCTCGGAGACGACGTCAAGGAGCTGTGGCGCGGCGTGGTCGACAATCGGCCAGGCAGCGAGACGCAGGGCTGGCACCGCGACGGAGGCTTCCTCTTCCCGAACGGTGCCGAGCACCGACGCCTCCTCCCTCTCTTGACACTCCAACACGCAGACCCTTCCATCACACGCCTGGCGCATTCCCCGAGAGGACTGGTGGTGGGCCGCCCGCAGCCGCGAACAGCGTCTCTTCACGCTTCGAGCTTTAGCAGGCGTCGACCTGCCTCCGCACTGCCTGACCATCTTTGTGCCTCTGGTCGACCTGCTCACCGATGAGCTCGGCCCGCCACAGTTCTTCCCAGGTCAAGCCGAGACTTGGCCGAGACCTAGCCGAGATCTGGCCGAGGTCTGGCCGAGGTCTGGCCGAGGTCTGGCGGAGATTCGGCCATGTGTCTATCTGAGGTCTAGCCGAGATCCAGCCGAGGCCTAGGCGAGGTCTGCGAGATCCCACCAAGCAAACCACCGTTCCCAGCCGAGCGGCGATGGAGGGCTGCAGTGCGGTGAAGCGTCTCTTCACACCTCCAAGCCGTGAACAGGCTCGCGGAGGTGTACGCGCGAGCACCTCTACACTGGCCTCGGCTCTTCACACCTCCAAGCCGTGAACAGGCTCGCAGAGGTGTACGCGCGAGCACCTCTACACTGGCCTCGGCGACGGCAGCTGCCACCTGCCCCACTGCACGCCGCAGCTGTGCGCCGACGCTCTCGCCTTTGACTACCGCATCATCCACCGCGGCCAGGCGAGATCGCCCCGAGATTTCCCGAGATCACTCGAGACCGCCCGAGATCGTGATCACCGAGATCGCCCGAGATCGCCCACCCGGGATTGGCTGATAATGCCGGCGACGTTGCTGAGAACGAAGACTAGTCACGCAACCATACTAGTGATAGTCATGGGCTGCGCGTACCCCTCGAGCGCCATAATACGAGCTTTCTCTCGGAACACAGGCTAACCTTAGCAGGGGCGCGGCGCGCCGCTCCAGGCCGATGCTGTGCCTCGTCGCCAAGCCTCCGCTCGCCTCTTCACAGCCGCCCGGTGTGAACAGGCCGATGCTGTACCTCGTCTACGCCAAGCCGTGGTTCACCGACGTCCACAACTTCCCCTCCGACGCGCCCCTCTTTGCGGATCCAGACGCGGCGGTCGGCGGCCAACACGCCGCAGGCAACGAGGGCGGTGGTGGGGCGGGTGGCGGGGCGGGGCAGCAACACGGCGAGCCGCTGCAACCGTCGCCGCCGCCGTCGCCGCCGCCGTCGCCGCCGCCGTCGCCGCCGGCTCAGCCGCCGCCGCCGCCGCCATCGCGGCCGTTACCAGCGCAGCCGCCGCCGCCGCCGCCGCCGCCGCCACCGCAGCAGCAGCAGCAGCAGCAGCAGCCGCAGCAGCAGCAGCAGCAGCAGCAGCAGCAGCAGCAGCAGCAACCGCAGCAGCAACCGCAGCAGCAGCAGCAGCAACCGCAGCAGCAGCAGCAGCAACCACAGCAGCAGCAGCAGCAGCAGCAGCAGCAGCAGCAGCAGCAGCAGCAGCAGCAGCAGCAGCAGCAGCATTCGCCGCCCCAGCAGGCTACCTTTGCGTGGGTGCACACTCTCGCTGACGTCTCGCCCCCGTGCGCTTGGGACGACTCCGGCGGTCGCGTCCGCTGCCCGAGCGCTTCGCCGCCGCCGCGCCCGCCGACGCATGTCCTGTACGGCGGGCCGCCTGGCGACCCGTCGCATCAGTTGCTTGCGATCAGTGAGCTGGAGACGCGACTGCGTTTCACCATGAGTGTGGTGCTGGTCGCTGAGACGCCCGAGGCGCCGACCTAGAGACAGACCAGGCCGAGATCAGGCCGAGGCGCCCCAAGGCCGGGCTAGATCTAGGCCACATCTGAGTCGCTGTCTCGGGCGGGGTTCATCTGTGAGCCACTCCCCCCTTCCCCTTTTCACAGGTGCAGCGCAGTTTGCCGCTCGAGAGCTTGCCGCCAGAGGCGTTGGCCGACGAGCTAACGCCGCCGACGGAGCTGCTGAGGCGGCCTTGTGCCGCCGAGGCCCGCGGCGGCTGTGGCACGGCGTCTCTTCACGCCTCTTGCCATGAACAGACGGCGGTGCGTCGAGGAGGTCCGCTCTGGTGGCGTGTCGGCGACCGCCGGCGTGGACACCTCCACCTACGTCGCCCCAGATGCCCACGGCGGGCACGGACTGTTTGCGGCGACGGCGCTGCCGCGGCACCACATCATCGGCGAGTACACGGGCACGCTCGCGCGCGGCTTCCTCGCTTCCGACACCACGGCTTGTAGCGCGGCTTGCGGCACCGAGAGGCTTTCTGCAGCGCGAGCCCTCGAGGTTCTCGCCAACCTTCGGCGGGATTCGGCCGCATGGTAGGCGCCGACCGGTATTTGATGCGCTACCCGGACGCCGCGGGCAGCCTGCACCTGTCCGCTCGCTCCGCAGGCAGCCTCCTCAGCGTAGATGCGCGTCTCCCAGCAAGCTCTCGAGAGCTCCGCCTCCTCACCGTCGCGGGACTTGAGGCTCAGGCAGCCTGCTCCGCTTCGTCAATCACGCGCCGCGGGGCGCACCGGCGAACAACGCGACTTGCTGGGCGGTGCTCGTGGATGGGGCGTTCCACATACTCGTGGCGACGACGCGTGCGGTCGAGAAGGGGGAGGAGCTCGCGTACGACTACGGGTCTGCGTATTGGGCGAGGCACGGGTGAAGCAGAGCTCCCTTTCTACTTCACCATGAGCCAAGCGCTTTGGTGTGTTTGGGATTGGGTGTGGCTTTCTTATCGGAGTTCTCGCAGTCCTCGAGAGAGAGAGAGAGGAAGGTCCTGGTGCAGAGAAGAATGTACAGGCACAGAGAGAGAGAGACGTACAGATTCGTACAGCGGTCCAGGTGGATATGAAATGTGTTTTATCTCTGTACTACGAGTCACGGTACTGACTTCTGAGTACTGTACATGCCACCTAAAGGGTGCCGACGTAAACCACTCCCGACGCGCTAGAGCCGCCATCACATCATCGACGCTCCCGGCCCCGCCTGCAGCGAGCCCCCCGCCTTGCCATTCTCGACTGTGTGGTCCGCGATGCCGTTCAGCGAGTTGAAGAAGGAGATGGCGCCGAGGGCGGCGATGCCGATGATCGCGAGCACCGTTTGGAGCACCTCGGGGAGCGGCGCCTTCCCTTCCTCGCCCGAGGTCGTAAAGAGGCTCAGCTGCTCCGTGCTGAAGCCGGCCAGCACCCCGATGCCGAGGCAGAGGTCGAGGAAGGCGGACCCAGTGATGAGGCCAGACGCGGCGAGGATCGACTCGTGCGTGCGCAGGAACGCCTCGTTCGAGCTCTTGGTGCACATGCGGACCTGCTCGCCCGCGAATCGACACAAGGAGCCGACAAGGATGCCCATGCCGAGAGATGCAGGGAGGTAGAGCCCCACCGCCATGGCCATCGCAGGGATCTGTATGCTCTCGCGCGACACCAGGAAATCCGCAAGGACGCCGACGACGCCAATGCCAATGCCGACGGCTACCGGCTTGAACGGGACCTTCGCGGCGAGCAGCAGCCCGTCGACCAGCGTGGCGAACATCTGGCCCTGCGGCGCAATCAAGCGCTCGGTGCCGAGACCATACGCGTCGTCGGCGACGTACAGCGCGCACGGCACCACGATTGAGCCGGCCAGGCCGCCGATGAGCTGCGCGACGAAACCAGAGCGCGGCGGGAAGCCGCACAGCTGCAGCGCCTTGCAGTCCTGGCTGAGGTCGTTGGCCGCACTTACGGCGACACACGTGCCCGTGAGGACGTTCTGCAGTAGCTCGACGTCGGAAAAGGCGTTGCGTCCCCACGCGAGCAATAGGAGGCAGAAGACGAGGGCGGTGATGAAGATGGTGCCCGAGACCGGCGACGCGGACGTTCCGATCTGGAGGGAGAGGACGGCGCCTAATCATGGACATGTGCTGTGAAGAGACGCTCCTTCCCCTCGAGCCCTGAACCGCCCTCGGCACCGAGCGCGGACATGAGAAGGGCCATAAAGACAAAGGCGGCGAGCATGGTGATAGTGAAGCCGTCGAGGCCTGTTCACAGCCTGCGCATTAGTGCACACCTACCGTGTGGCCACCGTTGGCGAGGATCCCTCTGGGGCCGTCTGTGAGGAGGATTTGCAGGCCCATCAAGCAGGACCCAGCGGCGATGGCGACCCATAAGAGCGACACCACTCGAGAGGGCAGGGAGAGCAGCTCCGCCTCGCTCTTGGATAGCTCGTCCACCATGGCGGCCCCCGTCGGGCTGAGAAAGCGCAGCATAGCGTATATCACCGCGGCCGTCATCGCGCCGCCTCCAATCCAACTGGTGGAGTCGGAGGGCCAGTCAACGGCCGCCTCTGGGTCGGAGAACTTCATCTCGGCGAGCATGTACTCGATGATCAGGCGGATGGCCGCACCACCAAAGATGACGAGCGCGGTTGGAAGCGTGAGCAGGGAGCCTATGGAACGCATCGTGCATTCTTCGTGTCGTCGACGCCGACATCAAGAACCAGCGAGGGGCAGGCGGGAGCGGGCGCCGATCCCGATGTAAACAGGCGAGAAGGGGACCTGCACCTCGAAGGCCTTGCCGGCGGCCGTCTCCATCGCAAAGAGGGTCACGTTGGCCTTGGCGAGTGAGAAGTACACCAGCAGGGGCGAAAGGAGCGAGGTGAGGCAGGCAAGGAGGAGCGACACACACAATGCCGGCCTCCTCCCTTGCGGCTCCGTCGCTGTCTTAATCAGCGTGACACACGCCTGAGCCTCTGGCGCCGGCAACGACGGGTCGGACAGCAAGCTCTTTGTGAGGAGCCCGACGACGCCCTGGCCGAAAACGGAGCCGGCGAGGCACACGCAGATTGTCATGCCGATGTTGACTTTGGGCAGCTGCTTGTCAGGTGGCAGGTTGTCGTCGATGCAGCCCTGCGCCGCCTGCCATTCCATCGTCTGGAGGTCGCAGTCGATGCCCGCCTCGTCTAGAGCTGCCTGTGCCTTTTGAAGGTGAAGCACCTGCATCAGCGGCCCGGCAAAGACACAGCCAGTTACCACTGGCATCGCAGCCGAGCCAGTGACCTGCGCCAGCGCGAGGAATCGAGGGCCGTTCGCGCCCTGGGCAACCTTGCCAAGCACGCCCCAGCAAAAGAGCACAACCAGCGGACTCACCTGCATGAAAGCGGGGGTGACGGTGACCTGTGAGGCCTCTTGCAGGTGTGACAAATCGCAATGCTCACCCCGGGCGTGATTCCGGCCTTGAGCGACGCAACAACCATGGTCGTCGAGAGGAGCATCGTCGTCGCCGAGCCGACGATGATTGCGAGCACGTCCGCGCCGAAGCCCATTGCGCAGCCGCCGGCACGGAGATGCCACAAGAGGGCGGACGGGCGGAGAAGCTCTCCGTCTGCAAGAAAAGAATTTTTTGTCCGAAGCCGGGGAAGAAGACTCCGAGGAAGACGAAACACCAGTGGTAATCCCGTCGTCAGCTGTAACGATGCACCCGAAGGGGACCCCAGCGCCAACATCATCGGTGGAGGTACAAGTGTTCGAAGAGAGAGTGGACCTGAGCAACGATATGACTTGGCGGCAAATGATCGCAGTGGGCGTCAGAAGAGTCGTCCTTGCGCGAGGAGAGCTGGATAAACTCGAGGGGCCGAAATATGCCGCGAGGAGGGCAGAGTTGCGCCGAAAGGCGGGAGAAGCCGCGAGAGCAAGGGATCGGCAGGCGGCGGCGGCGTCGCAGGACGAGGCAGTGAGACGAGAGCGACGCGACAGAGGAGGAAGCGACAGGAGGGAGAACGACGAGAGTGGGACGAACAAGGTGCAGCTCGACAAGGTGTGAACAGCGTCTCTTCACACCTCTGGCTGTGAACAGGCCCTCTCAACAACAAAATGCAGCTCGACAAGGTGAGCGCGCTGGTGGAGGACGCAAGGGCGCAGGGCTGCGAGGTCCTGTGCGGCGGAGGCAGGCGCGAGGGGTCCCAGCCGATGTAGAGAGTGTTCCCCGTTATCATTGATCCAAAGCACTGCCAACGGGTCAGAGTTATGACGTCCGTGTATGAGTTTACGAGGGTGAGAAGGAAGAGCGTCGCCTGGCAGTAGAACGCATTTGCTTATCGCCCCGCGTGCTGGGTGTCTGGGACGACGCTCCGCTCTGCGGCAACCGGCTCCTTGTCTTCGGAACTTCCACTATGCACGGTCTGCATGTGGTTGTCTGCACGCAACACAAAGATGTGTTGACGGGCGAACGAACGCGCGCGCTCAGAAAGAAGTACACGAGCCGACGCACGATAGAGCGGAATTGGAATTAATTTCCGTCACCAACGCCGGCGGGGGGCAGCGGGAGCGGAGGAGGTGGGAGTTGGATGATGGGGAGATGATGAAAAAAGACTTTATAACGAACTCCCTCGCACAGCACTGGGCACGGGACTGGCGCGCACTGGCACTAACACAGGTACACCACGGGAGCCGCCTACGCGACTCCTGCGAGAACGGCGAGGTATTGTAGATTTACTGGGCCGTCCCAAGAACAATTTTAGAGAAAGAAAACATGCAGGGTCAATCGCGAGACGCTCTCTTAGTCCCGCCTCCCTTCCGCCATGCAGGCCGACGTGGGCAGCGATGCCGCGAGTTTGTTGTCGGTGCTCTCCGGAGTGCTGGGCTCGAGCCTCACCTTCGATGCAGCGCTACCATTCACCCCGCAGCCACTCGCCGTGACCTCAACCGCGCTCGCACCTGCATCCCGCGTCAGTGCAAAGTACGCGTTCTACAGCGCAGGCTGCGCGGCGACGCGAGCTCAGCTTGCACGATTGCCCGCCATGACGCTGGCAAGCTCAATCGCGCTTGCGCTGTTGGCGGCGGTTTGCTCTTCCTCGGCGCCGCGCCTCGTCCCGCTCGCGCTCCTCCTACTGGCGGATCGCTGCGAAGCCGCGGGCACGATCTGCGACAACAGCGTGCCATGCATGGGCTGCCCCACCAGCGCTGTCGGCACGTCGCTGTGCGACGGCACCTACACGGGCACCCGGGTGGATCTGTCCAGCCGAGGGCTATCGGGGACGATCCCTCCGCAGCTGGGCGACATCTCGCAGCTGGAGTATCTTATCCTGATAGACAACTCCATTTCGGGCACCATCCCTCCGCAGACGAGCAAGCTCTCGCGGCTGGAGGCGCTTAGTCTGAACAGCAACTCCATCTCGGGCACCATCCCTTCGGATACGGGCAAGCTCTCGCTGCTGCAGTATCTTTACCTGAACAGCAACTCCATCTCGGGCACCATCCCTCCAGATACGGGCAAGCTCTCGCAGCTGGTGAGGCTTGACCTGTACGACAATGACATCTCCGGAACCGTGCCGTCGCAGCTCAACAACCTGCCGCTAAACACCTGCTACCTGGGTGGTACAAACCACTTCGCCTGCCCCCTGCCCGCCCTTCCCGATGTCTGCTCGCTCTTTCCTACTGAGTGCAACTACCCGCCGCCCTCGCCGCCCTCGCCGCTCCCGCCGAGCAGGAAGGCTGCTGGCTCCTGACTCATCCCCCAAATCCTCCACACCTTGGCGGCCTGAAACCTTACCATTCCGACACCTCACACACACCCCCTCCCCTAGGGCTAAGCAGTGCGCGAGCCCACCCGACTTCAGGCGAGACGTTGACCCCTCTTTTGGAACAGTCTGTCAGTGGCTGCACTAAACGCCCCCAGAAGCGCCCGGCGCGGGCAGAAGACTAGGGGAAAAAAAAGCGAAAACCTAGCTCCGCTGGGAGAATGG